GCGGACACCGAGCGTGCGGCCTCCCGCAGCGATGTCCCCGCGGCCTGTGAGGTGTCTGTGCGGACACAGAGCGTGCGGCCTCCTGCAGCGATGTCCCCGAGCCTGGGCCTGTCTGCAGACGTTTCTGCTGGCAGCGGAGCACCCTGAGATGGTCATTCTGATTTTTGTTAAGGAAGGTGACTCCTGAGCGAGCTGACAGGGAAGTGAATGAAGCCCATGGGGCAGTGAGGCTCAGGCTCTTCCGGGCCTGGGCACCGCCTCGTCCTCCCGGGTGGCCACTAACCCTGGCCACGTCCCTTCACACCAGCACCTCTGGCCAAACAGCACTTCTTCTTGGAACCGGGCCTTGGGGTTTTACAGCACTGATTTTGGGGAAGAGCCCGGGCACTCTAGTCCAGAGAGATGAGCATGATGCTGGCGGCCTGGGCTGGGGAGAGCCTGTCACACAGACCCAGGGGCACCGGCAGGATCCTCACCGGACTCTGCATTCCTGAGGCAATACGGGGCTGGGTGCGTTGCATTCTAAAGTTTCCACCAGCCGGCAGGCTGTGGGAGTGACAGAAGGGGCTCTGACTTTGGATGCGGGAGGAAGGAGGCCAGCAGCACAGCTGTCCGTTGTGTGTCCGTGCAGGGCGGGGCAGCGAGGGGTGGCAGCTCGCTCTATCCCGAGGGGAGACGGGAGGCAGGCTGTATGCGCCCCAGGACCTGGTTTGAAAGCAGCACTCCATCAAGTATTACAAGTTATCTCGAAAAATCTTCAACAACGTCAATTAAGTAAGTAAATACTTCACCCCCAAAGACCCCAACAGACAGAATTTTGAAAAACAACATGCAGACCACGTCCACGGGACTTGAGAGTTTAGAAGACACTTGCAGGTCGTCTTGGTGGCCTCCCACCGGAAGCTGCTGTCACCGCGTCCCCTACAGGCACTGGGGTCATCCAACGCGAGCACTTGCTGCTGCCAGGGGCTGAGCTCCTGTCCAGAAACTCTGGCCGAGGCCGTTCCAGCCCCTTGCGCCTACTTCTGCCTGGAAAACACCCTCCTCACCCGCTGTTCCACACAGGCCCTCTCTTGTGCTCTGGGCGAGAGGCAGACGTGGGCTCCTCCAACCACGGTGAATGGGGACGTGGCTTTCCACTGGCAGAAGGTGCACGTGTCTCACCCAGCAGGCCAGCAGCGCCCCTGCTTTCTGCCGCGCGTCCCAGAGGCCCCCACGGACTGGATTCACAAGAACCTACTCGCTCCTGGCGTTGCCCCGACGGTCACGCCCTGTGTCCACGCTGACGGCGCCGCTGGCCATGACCCCAGGGCCCTGAGAAGGTTCAGACCATGGGCCTTTCTTCCTGAGGTCTCTGCGTGTACCTGGACGGCCGCCCGGGCCAGCGCCGAAGCTCAGACTCGGGGCAGACAGATGTGAGCCAGAAGCCAGAAGGGTCCCGCGGCCTGCAGGGGCCAGATCGGAAACGCATCCGGAAAGAAGATCTGAGAGCTCAAGAGGCTTCCACGTCCGAAACGTCAGGGAAGGCGTCATGCGCGCGCCCGTGGCCCCACGGAAGCAGCTTGCCACCAAGAAGTGCTTTCCTCTCGTAAAAATCTACTTTCCGGGGGCGCCTGGGTGGCTCAGTGGGTTAAGCCTCTGCCTTCGGCTCAGGTCATGATCTCAGGGTCCTGGGATAGAGCCCCGCATCGGGCTCTCTGCTCAGTGGGGAGCCTGCTTCCCCCTCTCCCTCTGCCAACTTGTGATCTCTGTCAAATAAATAAATAAAATCTTAAAAAAAAAAATCTACTTTCTGTGCTGAGAGGAAAATGACTCATCTGTCCTTGGTGGCACCAAGGAAGCCAGCCCAGAGCAACACCTTCCACTGAAGTCCGCCTGGGTCTGCTCTGGTCTCTGCTGAACAGGCCGTTCCCTGTGCGGCGCTGACGGCCACCCCGTTCCTCCCCGGGATGCTATGCACCTCAGTACTTCTGTGCCGTCCTTCTCCCTGAACCCAGGCACCCTCTGTGAGACAATGGGAGGTGAGGGGGCAGGACAAACGCCCCGGAACTTTAACGAATGCACGCACACCCCTATGCACGGGACCCGAGGGCAACAACTCCAGCACCCGGCTGTTCCACCGTCCACGTCCCTTGTTCAACACAAGGCTTCCCTCGCAAGCAAGTCTGCAGGGCTTAGCCGTGGGGCCCACCTCACAGAAGTGTGACCTCCCAAATGTATGACGTCAACAGTCTCTGCTCTTGACTCCCCGTGCTCGAGTCCTTCTGTCCGGAACCACACCTGCCACGCCGTCAGTCCAGACGGCAGGGCGGGCCGTGGGCCCATGGAGCGGCGGCCGCGCCCCCTCCTGCCGTGCTGGTGCCCCCTGGCGTGCTGTCCCTGCTGGCCACGCGCGGACGCCAGGGACTGAGGACGTCTCCAGAGCCGCCTGCTGCACAGACCTGAGCCTCCTCGAGGTAAAGCAGCAGCACAGCCTCCGAATACAGCCTCGCCCTAGGTAACTGCCGCGAGCAGTCTGCGTTCTGAGGCGGACTTTGCCGGCAGAGTGACGCTGCCCAGCGGCCCAGCGGCGGAGAAACACCGTGCCTGCCGAACCCCGGGGCTGCCCTCGGATTTCACAGACGGGTCGTGCGGGCACCGGCCCGGCCCCGTCACGGGGAAGACCAGGAACCCGGGCTGTCCAAGCCGCCGATGAGGCAGCAGCAGCCAGCCACCCCGACCCCTCGGGAGGCCCCCGGCACCCACGGGCACCGTCCACCAAACCGCCCGGGAGCGGAAGCAACACCGGGAGAGAGCGAAGAGCAGACTGTTACTCGGTGACGGACTTGGTCTCTGCAACGAGACACGCAGGATGACTTCACGGTCTCCATCTCGCAAACGCTGTTTTCACCACCGTTTGACAAGTACGTGCACACCTCACACACACACGCTGTGACAAGAACACTCCTGTCACAAGTGCGCTTCCCTCCAGTGTCTTAGAACATCCCCTCGGCAACAGGACCCTCGGCACAGTCCCGGCCAACACGGCGCTGGTCAGGCCATGCCCGAGCACCTGTCCTGTGCCCGGCGTCGCAGACCGTGGAGGCCACACGGGGAAAGCGTTTTTCTGCGTCATGGGAAATGTGCGTCCTAACACAGGACAGGGTACTGACGCGCGTGCCCTCTCTCCCAGGGCAGGCTCCATGCGTGCAGACACTCAGGGGCCCCCACTATCAAGTTTTAGCAGAGTCAGCACTTTGTCATAAAAGATAAAGGTTAAAGTCAGGAAGCCATAAAATGTGATCAGAAACAACCACTGGTTTTCTCTGTTCTGCATAATTTATGTGCTCTAACAGACGAGCCTTCAACTCAAACCATACTGCTCTCCTCCAGCTAAGGGCGAGCTAGTAGCCAGCGCCACAAATCAGGAGCGCGCACACAACGCCAAAAACACACGTGTTAGTTTGGGGTTACGGTTTTAGTTCTGAGCTTTAAAAAAGTGAGTAAAATGATATTTTCAAAAGGATAAAAATACCTTAATTGTGTCCCTTAAAGAGGGGTGAACTGAGAAGTTAGGACCCTTGCACTCGAGAGCTCTACTCCCCTCACCGGTCACCACTGAGCTGCTAAAGGGAACACAGCAAACAAGTCAGTGACCACGGGCACTCAGGACCGGCCACCGCCCATCGCCGACCCATCCCGGGGGCGCAAACCTCCATCCCCACCTCCCTCTGCAGGAGGCAGCTCAGCATCCCTGAGTCTCTCCCTCTGACACGGGACGTTAATACGTACAAGGCAAAGAAAGACAGTGGGTGCCAAGTCTGGGCTGTAATTTATCTCTAAAAGGGAAGGCTTTCGGTCCGTAAAGAGAGGAACTGTACGAGGACCCACTTCAGTGGCACAGAGGCCCTGAGACATAGCCTCCCACTCTCTGCTCTGACAGATAAGAGCTTCCCTACAGCATTTTCACAGGTGAGACCCTGATGCGGCCCGGCCGGGTCACGGAAACACGGAGCCTGAGAGCCCGACGTGGCCCGGTCAAGGGACACCAACACAGCCGTGTGGCCCAGCCCGGTCACGGGAACATGGAGCGTGAGAGCCCAACGCGGCCTGGTCACGGTCACGGGACACAGACACAGCTGCGTGACCCAGTCATGGTCACAGTCATGGGAACACGGAGCGTGAGTGCCCGACGCGGCCCAGTCACGGTCATGGGAACAAGGAGTGTGAGAGCCCAACACAGCCCGGTCACGGTCACAGGAACACGGAGCCTGAGAACCCGACGTGGCCCGGTCACGGGACACCAACACAGCCACGAGGCCTAGTCACGGTCACAGTCATGGGAACACGGAGCGTGAATGCCCGACACGGCCCAGTCACAGTCACGGTCACGGTCACGGGACACCGACGCAGCCGCGCGGCGCAGACACTTGCCGCTGAGCAGGGGCTTGTTGAGCACGTAGAGCGGGGGCAGATCCTCTATGCCGCAGAGCCGCTGGTACATGGCCCTGGAGAGGTGGTCGCCGTGGTAGAGGCTGCCCAGGATGATACTCGAGAAGTAGATGGGCTCCACGAAGATGCTGAGCAGGGACCCCTGCACGCCCACCACGTTCCACCTGCGGGCAGAGGGGGCACACTGTGAGTGGAGGGGCTCCATGCCAGGGGACGCCACAGCCCTGCACCTGCACACAGACGTCCTTCCCGGCGAGCGGACCGCACAACCGGGAAGAGGCGGCACCCAGAAGTGACACAGAGCGAACCCTGCTCAGCACTTCTTCAGGACCGTGCAATGGCCTCTGGCCACCCTACCTCCTGGGACGCATTCCTGAGGCTCAGTGCTGGGAAGGGGTCCACGAGCCACATTTCTTGGGAGAAAAACCAAAAGAGCACATACATTTTTCTTATTTCCAATAAAAGCAATGGCAAAGGAGATCTTAAAAACCTCAAACTGGCTGCTTCCTGCTCCCTGGTGACAAGGTTTGACATGTGAGGGGGAGGCTATGCCGGGAGGGGAGGGCGAGCTCCCCACCACCCTGGGTCACGAGTCATGGCGCCATGCCCATCGCTGGCAACCTAGGCCTTCTGCTCCCACGCACCTGCCGGCTCACCAGCAGGCCCCTCCTCCTTCCTGAGTCCCACAAACAGCAAGAAGCCCGTGGTGCTGGGTGCCAAGGCCACGGCGCCAGGGAAGTCACCGCCCCGTGTTCCGGGGTCGGGCTGTCTGGACCGAGGGTAAGCAGGAGCAAGGCAGACACGCGACCAAGAACATCAAGGGAGGCGAGAGCGACTGGAGGGAAAGCGGGATTCCAAGAACAGGACACGGGGGTGCTGACCTCAGGGAAGGCTCCCGATGGCAACCCTGACACTCAGGCCCAGGAGGGACCCCCGAGGTGGACGGAGGGGCCCAGTCAGACCCTGGAGGGGCTGCAGTGGCAGCGGGAGGAAGACCAGGGAAAGGCAGGCCAGGGCCAACCTGAGCAGCCCGAGAGCCGCAGGGAGCTGCGAAGGACTCTGGGCAAGGCAGTAGCACCATGTGACTTCACGGGAAGATTTCTAGAGGCGACGCCCCTCCGTGCTGGGGAGGCTGTTGGGAGCCGCCTTGGCGGCAGCAGGAATCAGGACTGAGCGGGGACAGGAAGGGAGGCCCATGGGCTCAGGTTCGGGGGCTGAGGGTCTGGGCAGGCTGTGGGGGTGGGGCTGGGATGCCAAGCCCCTCTCCACTCTGTGTGCTGCCCTCACCGCGAGGCCACTGTGGCCGCACCGTGCTTGTACTTCGGGCCCAAGTCCAGTGGCCCCTCAGCCCTTGTGGAAAGGGGCAGAGGGCAATGCCCAGTGGGTCAACACTGGCAACGGGTGGTGGCACAGGGCCCACTGCCCACACTCTTGACCCACCCAGCTCCAGCTCCGCACCGGGGCCAGAGCTGCAGAGTCACGGGTGGGCGGCTAGCAGAGCTGGGGACCCCCGGTCAGAATGGACCCAGGAGGCCCCATCTTGCCATGGCCCCTGCTGGACCGCAGATCTCAAGTCACAGGTCCCCAGCTGCTTCGCCACTGTCTCCTACAGAGACCACGGCTCCCACCCTCAGTGGCCCGTCCCAGGAGAGCCGCTGTGGGACCCTGTGCACACAGGCCAGGCCAGGCCACTCCTGTGCACAAACCCTCCAACACCCCCATCTTCCCCCTGGAAATCACAGTCATTTCAAAGGCCCCTCTACCCCATCTGGCCTGGCTGCCCCTTCCCCACCCTTCCCCTCCCGGGCGTGGGCCACCAGGGGTAAGGGGGCTTCTGGCCACTCCCCCCAGGCCCTCCAGCCTGGAGCCCATCCCCAGCAGCGCCCGGGCCACAGTGCCCGCACCTGTCGGTCTCTGCAGGAGTCCCTTTCGCCACAGGTGTGGACTTCCCACCCCGCCCCCGGGCCCTAGTCCTCATTATCTGTCTCCATTCCCACCTCCAGTGTGCGAGCTCCAGGAGGGAGCGGGCTTTGTCTCCCTCACTGAGACCGCCGGGCACCGGAACCACGTCCCTAATAAAACCCACTGAAGGGACGTACCCCAGTCCCACAAGTTCCTCCCACCCCCTGGAAAGGAAGTTCAAACACAGATTTTCCCGTCTTCCAAGAAAAAGCGTGAAACGCCTCCATGCTAACAAAACCCACAGGGCACCCTTTATGTAAATCCAAGCCTCGATGGGGGTTTAGACTGTCTCCAAGGGGAATTCAGCTTCCCAGGGCAAACCCTGAGGCGTGATCCTGCAGAACCCTGCGTTTGTGCCGAGTCAGTAATTCTGAACACATGCTCCGTGAAGAATTCTAGCAGCCGCGATGGCTCTGTGGAGGCCCGTGGGGACGCGTGGGACGCCAGCACTTCTGCAGATGGGCTCTGCCAACGCGCCTCACAGAGCATGGGGAGGGCGGGGAGGGCGGAGGCAGCCGGGCTCCCAGTGTCGCCAAGCAAAGCTCTGCAAAGACTGGGGCCAGGTGTGCCCACCCACCGATGCCTTGGGGCCGGCTCAACCCCCCTGAGGGCGCCAGGATCCGCAGCAGAGAGCTGGCTGATACTAGGAAGAACCCGCAGGTGTCCAGGTAAAACGGCCTCTCTCTCCCCACCCCATCCCCGCCGCATGTGATTTCTCCGAGGCCAGGGCTCAGAGCACCGTTGCCCTGGGTCCCCTCTCCTCTCTACTGCCCTACTGCCCTGCTCCCCGCCCTGGGCTGCCTCTGAGTCTGCCCACCCAGCAAAGTGGAGGGCACCCGCCTGAGGTAGGAGATCCCTGCTTCCTCCCCCCTTCCCTCCATGCAGCTGAGGGCACAGAGGCTGTGGTCATGGGAACCGAGCCCCCGCTCCTTCTGGACAGGACTCGCTGTGCGTCTCCCCTGGCCCCGGGGGCTACCCTCTCATCACAGGCCCCCACCAGACAGACAGACGGCACCTGGTGACCCCCAGCTGCAGGTCCGCTCCTGCCTCCCCACGCCCAGCCTGCCCACTGCCCCAATCCTGTGTTCTTCTGTCCTGTCTAACAGGGACGTCTGTGGCATGGGGTGGTGGCCCTCTGTAAGGGACACGGGCAGCCTCGCCTTCCAGAGGGGCCACCCGGGATGCTCTCACTCCCTCGGGGAAGGGACAGGACCGCAGCCCGCTGGCAACACCCTGGCTGCCACAGCATTTCTGAACGACCTTCTAGCCGCCTGGCCTGTGCTGCTCCCTTCAAGCCTACCTGAGACTATGCTGCTGAGGTGACCCCAAGAGGGTGGGGGCTGGTCCAGGAGACTGGAGGGCTGGGCCACCCGGCCCCACCCCCGCACCCCCACCCCCACTCCTGGGGAGGGCAGAGGGCTGGAGCTCCCGGCAGACACCAGTGACCAAGGACTTTTTCTCTGTTGCCTTCCAAAATCATTTCTTTACTGTTTCCTTCTTTCCATGTATTGGGATTTGTTCTCTTTGTAACTTAGCAGCTGTGGGGCTTCTGTGATCTGCTTACAGTCATCTTCTAATTTCCACTGCGGTTCCTTCTGGGAGTCACGGAGCTGCGGCTGACATACATACCGCGCGTGGTAAGGCACACACGGGGTAGGAGGTGTGTGCTCGCTTGTTTTGAAGCAAGCTCCAAGCCCAGCACAGGGCCCAGCGCGGGGCTCAAACTCACGACCCTGAGATCGAGACCTGAGCTGAGATCAAGAGTCGGACCCTCAACCAAGCCTGAGCCACCCAGATGTCCCAAGAGGTGTGATGTGTGTGTGTTCTAGAGACCATCACGCCCAAAGCCCTCTCAGACCTTGTCCTATGCCTGCTCTGCTGCACCCCACCACCGTCCCCTCCCTGGGCAACCCCGGCCGGCTTTCTGTCGTGGGGGGCTGGTACGCATCCTTTAGGAGGTCTGTAAATGGAACCACCGGGCACGCACTCCTGTCTGGTTTCTCTCACTTTGCATCATCGTTCTGAGCATTAGCTGAGGCGCACAGGGCATCACTGTTCACTCTTATTTTCCCCAAGGAGTAGCCCACGGCACGGACACACCAGCACACATTCATCTACCTCCCTACAGACGGCTGTCCAGGTTGTTCACACTTCTGACTACAAGGACAGCCGCTAGGCACGCACATGTGTGACTCTGGACATGTGCTAGGCACATCTTTAACTTTCAAGACACCGCTGAACTTTGCACGAGTGGTTGTGCCGACCCTACGCCCGCCCTCGGCGGCTAAGGGCATGGGTCCCCGGCATCGCCATCCACACCGCATCTGCTCAGAGTTCTGGTGGGTGTGTTTTGTGTCTCGCATGCGTTCCCAGTGAGGATGGGGCTGATGGTCCTCCTGACGTCTTCTTTGATAAAGTGTCCATTCAAATATTTGCCCATTTTAAAACTGCTTTTCCCCCATGTTGAGTTTTGAGGGTCTGAAGTTTAATAATGCAAACAGGCCCTTTATCATATACCTGATTTGTGAGTATTTTCTCCCAGTCAGTGACTTTATTTCTTATTCTTTCAATGGTGTGTTTAAAAGAGTTTGGGGCACCTGGGTGGCACAGTCGTTTAAGCGTCTGCCTTTGGCTCAGGTCATGATCTCAGGGTCCTGGGATAGAGACCCGTGTCAGGCTCCCTGCTCAGCGGGGAGCCTGCTTCTCCCTTTCCCAGTCCTCTTGCTTGTGTTCCCTCTCTTGCTGTCTTTCTCTCTCTGTCAAATAAATAAACAAAATCTTTCTAAAAAATTAAAAATATAGAAGAGAAATAATTTTTATCTGATGAAGTTGAGTGCTTTTGGTATTTTATATAAGAAGGCGCCTACCACAACTGCACGGCCCTTGCTTTCTTCTACAACTTTTACACATCTCAGTCTGTGACCCATCTGGAGTTAACTTTTGTATATGGTGCAGAATATGAAGTTCATTTGTTTGTTTTTACATACGGATGTCCAGTTTTCCCAGCACCACTTGTTAAATAAAAAGACTTTTTTCCACGCTGAATTAACACTGCACCTTGGTCAAAAGTCAGCGCGACTAACATGGAACAAGTGGAATTTGAAATTTTAACACATAAACCCATTTACATTACTGACATCAACAATTAAATACTTAGGCATAAATCAAACAAAACACATACAAGATCTATATGAGGAAAACTACCAAACTCTGATAAAAGAATCAGAGAGATAAGCGGGAGAGGTATCCCATGTTCATGGATAGGTATACCCAACACGGTCAGGATGTCGGCTCCTCCCAACTCCACACAGATTCAATGAGTCTCCCTCAAAGGATTCCACAGGTACTGACAAATGGATTCTGAAGTTCAAGTGGACGCAAAAGACCCAGAAAAACCAACACAGACAGCACAGGAGGAGAACAAGGCTGAGCCCAAGACTGCGGGTTCACAACCGACCATAAAGCTACAGCAATGGTGATGCTGTGATTCCTAAGAACTGTATCCCGCCTGACATACACTTGGTCTCCATTCCTGCTTCCCGGCTCATGGCTCCAAAAACCCTTGGGATTTCCCGAGTGAGGAGAGCACTTAGAGGTGTCTTTTGCTACGTGAATGAGGTAAGTTTTAGAAAGCACTTGAGGATGAGGGTAGAACCTCTAGTCCCATCCCCTGATCTCCAAGGAGCAGAGAGGGGCTAGAGACTGAGATAATCACCAATGGCCAATGATTTGGGGCGCCTGGCTGGTTCAGCTGGTAGAGCATGTGCCTCTTGATCTTGGGGTCATGAGTTTGAACCCAACGTCAGGTGTAAAGATTACTTAAGAAATTTAAAAAAAAATTTTTTTAAATCACCAATGGCCAATGATTTAATGAATTGTGCCTGTGTAACGAAGCTTCCATAAAAACCCCAAAGGCAGAGCTTGAAGCTTCTGGGCTGGTGGACATGGGGATGTGAGGAGAGCAAAGCCCCTGGAGAGGGCTCATAAGCTCCCTCCTGAGGCCTCATGAGACCCTTTCCCTGTGACCCGCCTTCTGCGTCTCTTCATCTGGCTGTTCTGAGTTAATCCTTTTCTAATAGCTGGTGATTAATGAGGAAAACGTTTCTCTGAGATCTGTGAGCTGCTCCAGCAAGTTAATCGGACCCAAGGAGGAGGGCCTGGAGACGTCCAACTTATAGCTGGCTGGTCGGAAGCACAGGCAAATCACGGGACACCCAGCGGGTGCCGAGGGTTCCTTGTTACACGTGAGGGACCGACCCCTCCCCCACACAACGGAACTCGATTCAAAATCCAACGGTACGACAGTGTCATGTGGCAGAACAGCAGACAAACGCGTCCCGGCAACAGAACGGAGCCTAGACACACCCGCAGAGATGCAGTTAACGATCCCTGATGAAGACACAGAGGCAGCACAAGGAGTCAACCAGAGCGTCTTCAGCAAGTGTGTCCCTACAACCGAGCAGCCACACGCAAACACGGGTCCCGAAAGACCTGACGCCCTCCCGACTCACTCATGGCGGGTCACAGACCTAAACATAGCAAGCAAAACTGGAAAACTCCTAGAAAAGAGCTCAGGAGACAATCTGGACGACTCTAGGTCTGGTGAGGACTTTTCCAAGCACCAGAAAGGCACAACCCATGAAAGAAACACTGACAGGCTGGACTGCCTTAAAATTCAAGACTTCGGTTAAACATAGTATCCACGGAATGAGAAGACAGGCCACCGGAAATTCTGCAAAAGATACACCTGATAAAGGACTGTTATTTAAAATACATGGAAAAAACTCCTAAAACCCCCAAAAGAAAACAAACTACCCTATTAAAAAGGTCTTAACAGACAGCTCACCATGTTTGTAGTTCTTGTGAGCTAACTTGAGCGTAGGTGAGCGTGAGCGAGCAAGGATCTCTTGGAGACCCGGCTCTCAGTTCTTCGGGGCAAATACCCAGAAAGGGAATCGTGGGGTCACACGGTAATTATACGTTTAACTTCTTAAGGAGCCAATATTCCTGGATGGATCGATTTAACTTTATGTTAATTCTTTCCGTTTCCACCCATAATTTCACAAGTCTACACAAAATCTAAGCAAGACATCTGGTGACACTGGAGCAGATTCTAAAACATGTGGGAGGCCACGGTAAGGCTTGAGACGAGGACCAAACCAGGCCCTGACTTGTGCCTCCTTTAAAGGCTGAATAGCTGAACAAAAGGCTTAGGTCGATAAAGTCGAGTAGCACTGAGAGAGGGTCTGCTACTGAGGCTTGGGAAATAGATAATGGGAAAGCTTGAGGGGTTTTCTGTGCATGTTGCAAACTCTTTAGTAATCAGCTAAAAATAGATACTTTCTTACAATTGTTTCTGTTAGCTATATAATGCCTCACAGCCTTGAATAAAATTGGCACTACTGGACATCCTCCTTGGTGCTCCTCCTGTCCCCATCTCTTTGTCTCTTAATTTCTTTTCACTGATCGATCTGTCGCGCCGGCTGCGACAAAAACATTCTCAGAAGAACAGAGGTGCATAAAAAGCTGCAAAAGACTTGGAAGACAGAAGAGCAAAAAACGACAGCAATACCCAGTCAGGTCTCCAGACACACCGAAATGCCAGAAGGTAAACACTGTGGGATCTGTACAGTCACGCCTGACTACGAGCTGACGGTGATTCGAGAGACTAGGAACGGACCCATCTCTGTAAGACAGTTCCGTATGTAAGGGAAATGCCTTCACAGATCAACGAGGAAAACGAGGCCAATAATTTAATAAATAGTATCTGGGAAACAGATTCGCTGTATTAAAATAACAAAGCCAAATTGTTACTTATAGTACAAACATGTTATGGGCCTGAATCTGAAAGTAAAATGATAAAAATCTCAGAAAAAGGTATGGGAGAACATTTTTATGTCCTTAATTTAAGAAGGAATTTCTTAAATAAGATTCTGAAAGTGCAAATCACTTTGGAACATTAATGAATCAGGTAGTAACAACATGAAGGGTTTCTGTTCAGTAAGAGCACGGCACGGACCGAGACAAGACATGGGTTTGGACTGGAGAAGACACAGAACTTTTTTTTTTCCCCAAAGATTTTATTTACCCATTTGAGAGAGAGAGAGAGCACATGAGAGGGGAGAGGTCAGAGGGAGGAGCAGACTCTCCGTGGAGCTGGGAGCCCGATGTGGGACTCGATCCCGGGACTCCGGGATCTGACCTGAGCCAAAGGCAGTCGCTTCACCAGTTGAGCCCTCCACGTGCCCCAACACGGAGCTTCTGAAACCGTCAAGGACGGCAGCACAAACCACACAAGGAACGTCTGTAGACAAAGAGGGAAAAAGCACGAGATCCCAAAGATAAATGGGCAGAGGGTATCGCCGGGCAAGTCTGATGAGAAAGTTGCCGCCCCATGCGCCCAGCAGACACCAGTTTTCAGATGAGGAGGAGACTGGTGTCGCACACGGGTAGTGGAGATGTGAACCGCGTGAGCGCTCTGGGGCACGTCTGCTATCGTCTGAGAAGTTCCCCACGAGTACAGCAGAGATCCTGAATGGCGAAGGTCTAGAATGAGCTACGCTCACAGAAACTCAAGGCTAAACCATAGAGGAGAGTTGGGGCAAACCCAAGTCTGGTCGGTGAGGGAACGGACAGGGCACGGTCCGTGACGACGACAGGGTCTTTGCAGAGCTGAGAAGTAATCAGCCCACTACTTATTAGAGCATCGGGGACAGTCCCCGAACACTGGCTTGAGTGAAACTGTGAGACGCAGAACAGCATTTAAAACCCAATTCCAGGGGCGCCTGGGTGGCTCCATGGGTTAAAGCCTCTGCCTTCGGCTCAGGTCATGATCCCAGGTCCTGGGATCGAGCCCCGCATCGGGCTCTCTGCTCAGCAGGGAGCCTGCTTCCTCCTCTCTCTCTCTGCCTGCCTCTCTGCCTGCTTGTGATCTCTCTCTCTGTGTATCAAATAAATAAATAAAATCTTCAAAAAAAAAAAAAAACCCAATTCCATCTCTAAAAATTACAACATACGCATAAATACCCCAGCATGACACGTGTTTTTCAAGGCTGCACGCACACACACGCGCGCGTGCACGGACGTGAAAGTGAATGGAGGGCGGACACGACGGGCACGTGATAAGCAAAGGCGTCACGGTGGGCACAGTGGGCACCTGCACTTGCGGGGGCCGCGGCTGCGTGTGAGGAATCAGGTTCCATGTCCTTGAGGTTCCCTGACAAGATCCACTCAAGAAAACCAGCCTGGAAGGCTCACAGATCACTGAGGGGGTGCTGTGTGCACACGCACGCGGGGCTGACCGCTCTGGAAGGGCAGACGGGAACACGCTCGCGGCGGGCGGCACAGCAGGGATGGGAAGACGGACGAGATCGTAGCCTCACAGGCTCTGTACCGTCAACTCTCTGCCATCTACCTACCATCTACCTACGTTACTTTGTTTTTCTTCCAAGTAGACATTTGTTAAAAACTAAGAGTACTGGAACTAACGCCAGCATCTGAGGAAATGATCACCCGGCCTGCACACACCTGCTTCCGAAGAAACATCTGTCACACGAAGGCAAACAGTGTATCTGCAGCAGCCCGGCCTCGTGTGGAGCCGCCCCGGCCAGGATGCTAGGGACACGTGCACTCAGTAACCCAAAGTGGCAGGTCAGCAGCGAGCAGGACCGCCTAGGTGGCACCGGGAGGAATGAGGACACTGTCCCTTCAGACGGTGGCAGACGGTTGTAAAGTCACCGTCTGCAGCCCCTGGACTCCGCAGAACCCGCACGTGTGAACACAGATGCAAAGCAGCATGAGCGGCCCGGGGCCTCCAGCACGCGGGGCCCAGCTCGATCCCCGCCAGGGAGGAGCCCCGGGCCTGCAGAGAGCACGGCGGGCCGGAGCCGGGAGCCCGCGGCCGGGGGCCTTACCGCGCCATCTTGTCGCTGCAGGACATGGTGAGCAGCCTCTCGCCCTGCAGCACCCCGTCCCACGTCTGCAGGCTCGCGCTGGATCGCACGGGAATCGTGCCTTCGCCAGACTCTATTTTCGTCCGCAGCTGTCCTCTGGCCTTGCGGTTTGGGTGTCTGTCCGCTGGTTCTAGGAGAGGGAGGCCGGGTGAGAGTCCTCGCGGGCAGCAGCCCCGGGACGGCGGACGTCAGCGTGCAGCCCTGCGCACACGCATCCGTCCCTCCGACATGGATGTGCAACACGGCAGAGAGAACTGGGCAGGACGGGCTGCGCTACAGACCTAATTCGTGACACTGGTCTCTCCAGGGGTTAGGGAGGAAGGGCTTCCATTCGAACCAAAATGGTTTCTCTCATGAAAAAGGAGCTGGAGCAGAGAAGACAAAACGCGAACGTGCGCTAACTCTAGAGGACGGGTGTTTGAGTGTTACGTCTTCTCCCTGCGTCTTTAAACTTTCAAAAACAAATCCCAGAGATGCTGAAATCAGCGAGAGGAAGCGGGCACGCACAACCACCTAACGTGTTATCTCCGGGTTAGGTTACGTGAACACGGGCGGCCAAAATGTTTTCTTACACGGTACAACACGCAGCGATTTCCCATAGCGGGCACGTGTTTCCTTTGTAATCAAGGGGAATGACGTCCTCAGATGCTAAACTGGAGTCGCTTCCGCTTAGGAGAAGAGATGAACGAGGACCAAGTTACTCCACAACAGCAGCACGGACCTGGCGCGACGACACACCAGGGCCCCCTTGTCGCTCGTGTGTGCCTGCATCTGATGCACCCGCCACAACCCGCAGGTACACGCGCACCAGACCACAGCTCGTCCGAAGCCCAGAGGTGGAGAACGGACGGCTCCGATCTAAGTATGAGTCTGACTCAGCAGCCTCGCTCTAACCTGCTCGTGCACGTAAGGCACCACTCAGGCTTCCTCATCCAATTATTCATTGAAAAGAAAAGCCTTGGGGACCGTGGGTGGCTCAGTGGGTTAAAGCCTCTGCCTTCAGCTTGGGTCATGATCCCAGGGTCCTGGGATCAAGCCCTGCATTGGGCTCTCTGCTCAGCGGGGAGCCTGCTTCCCTGTCTCTCTCTGCCTGCCTCTCAGCCTGCTTGTGATCTCTGTCAAATAAATAAATAAAATCTTTAAAAAAAAAATCCTTAAAAAAAAAAAAAAACCACCTCGTGCTCTTATATATTCCCATCAGATCCACTTTCGAAGCCAGAAGTTTCAAGAAAAAGAAGAAAAGGACACTAATGTAGGTTTGCTCTGCTGTCACCCCATAACCCCAGCCTCCCGGTGATGCAGCTGGCCGAGCCCCGTACCTTCCAGGATGGGCTCGTGCGGCGAGAAGATCCTGGCGTCCCCGCAGGGGGACGTGCTGATGTACAGGTGGAACTGCACGCTGTCCCTCAGCTTCAGCCCTCCGCGCTCCGACTTCTGAAAGATGGATCGCTTCTGATCATCTTTGTTACTAGAAGGAAACGAGTTGCAAAAATGAACTTTAAAGCCGTATACAGCCAAATTTTTGTCTGTCATAACTTACGACAGAGGCCACTGCTTTCAACAGGGTACAGATGCGCTCGAACTGGGACGTTCCCGTGTTGATGAGAACAACACCGCTAGTGACCAAGTCCACCCAATGAAGAAGCCGTCGGAACGGCACGAGCGTCCCTTCTTCCCATTCAGAACTTCGACACAGACAGACGGCACGTAAGCAACGGCTCAGTAAAGAAAAGTGGCTCAGACGGGACTAGAACGAAGGGCCCTGGGCCCCAGGTGGCTCGGCTCTGCTCAGGCTCCCGCTGCGCCCAGAAGCTCACCGCCCCGAGCACAGACTTCAGATCAACGGCCGCATGAGCCGTGAGCACACGTGTGCACACATGTGTGTTCACCCACTGGACTCGGAAGCAGGAGCATCATGGGAAAACAGGACCCAACCTCATCCTGGCCAATAAAGTCACTATTTTAAGAATTTTTCAGAGATTACAGAAACCATGAAGGTTTTGCAATACACTCTGACGGGCGGCACGGTTTTTAAAAACTGCTTCCTCGGGGCACCTGGGTGGCTCAGTGGGTTAAAGCCTCTGCCTTCGGCTCAGGTCATGATCCCAGGGTCCTGGGATCGAGTCCCACATTGGGCTCTCTGCTCAGCAGGGAGCCTGCTTCCCCCTCTCTCTCTGCCTCTCTGCCTGCTTGTGATCTCTGTCAAGTAAATAAATAAAATCTTTGAAAAAATCAAAATAAACAAAAAAGAAAAACCGTTTCCTCTAGTCCTGCGCTCGCGGAACTCACGTGAAGTAGAGCTCGAGCTGTGTGTAGAGGAAGCGGAGCAAGGCCCGCCGTGCTATGATCTCTGCGTGGCAGTCGTTCAATGCAAGGCCGCGGTCGCTCATGTACTCGCCGTTGATGCACTTCGTCCCCGTGGAGACACTTATCACCTTGGCGTCTTTCACGTCTGTGCCTGGAGAATGAGCAAGAGAGGACGCCTCGTGCCTCGACCCCTCCCAGCTCTGCGGCGCTCCTGCTGCCTGGGCTCCCGGGGGGAGAGGCCCCTGCCCCCGGCTAGTACCCGCGCAAACTCAGTCTCTGGAAACCGCCCCCCCCCACCCTCGAGGACTCATGGCGCGACGCTTCTGGACGCAGACCTCCCTTGCCCGTTAGTCTACAGTCTCTAACCCCAAGGAAGGTGTTTCCTCTGGGGCGGCCCGGTCTTCTCCTGAACGTTCCCCGCTGGCTCCCGGGAGGCAGCCCCAGGTACAGGCCGACTAACTGGTCCACCAAAGCGTCGTGAGGCTACGGGGAAGGGCGTGCGGCCGTCAGAGGGACCAGAGGGAAAAAGGACGTGGCCGGTGGGGTGTTGGGAAAGGCCCTGGGAGCGCAGCCACTGATGGGACATCTGCTAACAGACCACGTGCTGCAGACACAGGGCAAGACGTGGACACGGCCCTGTGATAACCTCCCTCGCCACCCGCTACACGCACGGCGCGCCCCGAGCAGCAGGTGCAGCACCGGCCTGCAGGGCAGGGTCTCCGCTTCATTCCCACACGCGCCCTCAGGGGCACGCGACTCCTCTCCATTTAGCTGATAAGGACCCACGGGGCCAAACGGCCTGCCCAAAGTCGCTCAACCAGCAGGAGCCCGACCTCAACCGGCCATCTGACACCAGGGCCACAGGCCGCGGGCTGGGTGGCACTATCTGCAAGGGAACACGGTGGCCTTGAGTAAGAGGTCCCCAGGGAGATGCATGGCGAGGGCACCACGGCCCAGGAGCCAGTCCGCCCCCCCCCACCCCGGGCCGGCGAGAAGAGCTGCCCAGAAGGACCCGGCAGTCGCACACTCCTGCCGCTGGCCGGGGCACAGAGCCTCGCCCAGGGAATACAGCGTCCCAGGAGCCGAAGCACCCGCCTTTCGTCATGCGACAGACAGCAGCAAAGGGAGGGGGCGGGAGAGCACGGGCATCTATCCGCAGAGTTACACGGAAACCCCAGGGAATGTCCAGAGCACGTCCTCCGACCACAGACACACCCTCAGCTGTGCCAAAGTGAAGACATCGTGCACGAAAAAGCCGTCATTAAACAGCACTCAGGTGTCCTCGACCATCGAGGGGCTGGCCAACACGGGGACCACGGACTCACGTCCGGCCTGCAATGGGAGAGAGAGCTACCGTGGAAGAAAGGACGGTGCGTTCGCCCACACAGAGGACAGGGGTTTTCTCCCTGACCAGCAGGTGTAGACAGACAAAGCGTTCCCAGCTCGCTCGCTCGCTCTCCGGCCTTCGGGCCTTTTTGTACACGGCCCTCCAGGCTCAGCCAGCCAGTGTGGGGCTGAGCGGGTGCCCCAGGGCAGAGGGCCCCATAGGAGCAGGGATCCCCACTGGGGCCACCACTGTGGTCTCCTGTCCCTGGGAGTGGTCCCCGGGCAGACAAGGCTCAGCGTCCTCACCCCTGGGGTACAGGAAAGGACTCAGGGGTAACTTGCGCTGGTGGGAACTTCCGGGTAAACTTAACAGGGCTCCTTCTGCCATCCTAAAGTGTGCTTCTTACCTGTGCATTTCCTGTTCTTGCTAGAGCTGCCTGTCCCCACAAAACTAGCTATCAGGGTCACTCCTGGGTAAGTCAGATGCGGCCCAATGGCAAATGAAGCAGGAAGGGGGGGGGCGCCACTTTGCTGGACTTTCCAGTCGATCAAAACCGCTCACATGGGTTTATAGGAATCAGATGCTGATACAGCATGCTTTCTCCAAATAAGAAAATGTAGGTTAAAGCAATGAACATGTAGGAGAAAAGTTTGGGAAGTGCGGTTCCTATGTTTGCAGGTGGCAGGGATTCAGAAGAACTAGGAAAACAGCCCTATTAGTGTCACAGAGACGGTCGGTCACGGCCCGAGAGCATGTCCTCTCTCTGTTCAGCACAGCATTTTACCTGTTGTCATGACGACGCCGGCGAGAACTTTCCTGCGAGCGTGAGGAGAGGAGAAGTTGTCCGTCAGGTCGCCGAACTTATCCAGCACCAGGCGGGCCACGGCATCGGCTAACACCTGAGGACCACAGCAGGGAGTCAGGGGTGCGGACTGGCCCCTGCCCCGCGCACACCAACAAGGCTGTCCCTTCGGAGTGGCCTTACAGACGGCTTCTCTTCTGGAAAACCACACGGGCAAATCTGGCAAATAGGCACGTGTGTGTGTGCGTGCGTACATGCTTTTTTCTCCCTCTAAAACACTCCCTGGAAACTGAGGCCCCAGGAACACTGGAGGCTCTGGGTGGAATTCTTCAAGAGTCTCACAGACAGGGACAGTCCAGAGCCCGTGCCACCCCTCTGGCCCTCCCAATACCCCAGCCCCGCCCCCAGATGAAGAAGCTGAGGCAGGCCCCAGCCAGGGCGGCCCGCCCAGGCCACCCGCCTCACACCCTCCACGGCTCTGCACCCAGTTCTCCCAGCCTCCGAGGCCACACTCCCTGGGGTGACAGGGCTTTGGGAGGAAGTGAAAGTGCTCCTTTTCCTGAGTGCAGCAGGGGTGGCCGTCCACTCAGGGGCTGACCGGGCCAGGGAACACTCCCCTGAGTGTGACCCACAACATCAGGACAAGAGAAGGGGCCGCGTGATGAATGCCCAGGAGAAGAGCCACGCGGCTGTGCTCAGCCTCCGCCCGGGGCACCTGCTGCACGGCCCGGGAGCAGCGCCGACGAGGCCTGCGAGGGCCCCTGCCACAGACCCAGCCCCCGCGGACAGCACTGACAGCTACGCTCCCTGGGGAAGGGGTGACAGGTGGCTGGTCCACCGCCAGGCCGGTCGGCCTGCCCCGGAGGCAGTGCTTCCCAGCAGCGAACACAGCCGTGCTCTCATCTTCACAGTTTACAACGTATCTTGGATACAAGTGTTTCTGGGAAATGAAGCCCAACGGGACATGCGTGTGGGTGGTATGTCCTCCCAATCTCACACTTGTCGCGGGTATCAAACAGGTACGTCTAGTGTCCCCAGCTTGGCCTGTAATAAAACACTCCCCAAATGGACGGAAATGTCCATCATCCTAAATGATGACTTATTTTGAAAAAAACAAAAGTCACCAGGATTTCTTCCTCCTTCCGTTGCCCCAGTAAGTACCAAAGAGCCCCCAGAAGACTGCGCTCAAGTCGGGGGCGGGGAGCATGGACAGAAAACGGGGGGCAGCAAGCCCCCCGCACCCTGGGCAGAGGCCTCAGTGCCACACGCGTGGGGGCAGGTGACACGGTGGGAAGGGGATCAAAGATGAAGGACCCCATGTTCCAATTTACGTAAGAGAAAAAGTCTTGAGAGGCTAAGAATAAGCCACAGAAAAGAAAAGCTTCCGTTTCGTGGACGGTCTGGCCAATCTCCAAACCGCAGAGCTCAGAGACACTCAGAGGAGGTCAGGCCCTTGTGTGGACACTTACTGGTCACAGGCGGGCACTGTCGGCACCGGGACTGTTCCTCCAGCCCCTCAGAGACTGCAGGTAAGGAAGCCAGTCTCTGTACGTGCTGGGGTGACGTAACCGGGAGAATCACGCCCGCGCCCCCCAGCCCCAGGCGTCCCCGCCACAGCCCCAGGTGCTGAGAGGCCCCGGCTCAAAGCTGGGCTGGGGCCGATGGCCCGCTTCTGCTGCTCACAGAGCCCAGGAGAGGCTGAGGGCTCTGCATGCCTCCATGGCCCATGACGTCTGGGTTTAAACCCTGGAATGCCACTATGGACACAATGAAGGCAACAAGTCCCACGAGCAGGGACTCAAGGGCCACTCCAGGCAAATGGCGCGGACGCTCAGTGCTCCAGAAGGCGGGCCTGGAGACGCCCGTGCAAAGATGGCGGAGCCCAGAAATCAAGCTGTGAGGGCTGATTCTGCAGGGGCCCCCCCAGGTCCTCCAAGGAAAGTATGGCCACCTCCTGAGCTCCCGGGGGGGCTCCAGAGACACCACGGTGGGGGCACAGTGAGCAGACACGGGGACAGACGGCTCCGTGGCCACAGAGGTTCAGAAACGAGCGCTGGGCACCCGCAGAACCCAGGCAGGCAGCCGGGGGCAGGGCTGACACGACCCCTGCCTGCCTCCTCCCTCCCTTAGCTGGGATTCCCGGACGCCCCTCCTGGTGAGGCCCCACGCGGCCCCCAGCGGAGCTCTGGTCTCTGCTCCCGCAGGAGTCTGGGCCCAGGCTAGGACCCCTGCCTGCCTCCCTGCCACGCTGGGACCTGTCCACCCTGCAAAACCCAGTATCAGGGGTCCCGGCGTTTGACAGGATTCCAGTCGTCTCACATGCGACTCTTCTGATGTTAAGGGAAGTCAGGTGGCAGCGGACAGTGTCGTGAACTCAAGCTGGAAAACGCGCAGCCAACAGCAGACCTGAAAATAGGATATCTGCAGGGAACTGGTCCCACCGACACGTGAAACGGTAAGTGGACTGACGTTCTTCTGACAAACGTTCGCAACAGGCTAATGGGGACGTATTACCGGGTTCAGTAACTGCCCGTAGGACACTCTGAACACGCTACTTCTTACATGATGCTGTATTTGGCTCAGCTTTAGGCAAAATAAAGTTTCTTCTTCTAAACCCTAGCAGTACTGGTCACCTCGGACAATAGCACGGAGAAGTTACTCTAATTGTGTTCAAAGGCACCAGAGAAGCCGCGACCTTCCGGATTCTTCGACGAGAAATACAAGCGGTCCGTGTACCGATCTGAGTCCCTTCATTCTCTCCTCAAACCAGTACACAATTCATCTTCAACCTCGGTACTACTTCAGCAAAAAGGAACAGAGAAGGGTAATCGATTTTCTCTCTCAAAGAAAAATTTTTACCCTTAGCCAGAAAACTGGATTTCCAAGAAGAGAAGCGACACATAAAGGGTTTTAGGGTCTAGAGATGCCAGCTACCTGCTATCCCCCCCTTCACGCTTGCCCTTTTGTGTGTAAGCCACGAGCCCGCCTGAAATTCTGTCTTCATCCTGGTCTTATGGGGCCGTCCAAGCCCAAACGAGGGGGGACGCCTACCTCCGGCTGAGCAGCAGGGAGGCCCACATGGACCGCACCTAGGACATTCCAGGTACAGATTCCCAAGCACCGTGAGGGCCACTGGAGGGTCCCCTTCCATCCCTCGCCCCTCCAAGAGGCTCATGCCTGTCATGGGGCACCCCCGGCCTGGCCAGCCCCTCAGCCGTCAGCCCTGCTGGAGCTGGGAGACACCCACTCCCACCCACGCTAGGGTTTCAGCAGCTGGCCGGCTGGCCTCTCTTCTGTGCTCGGGATTCCGCAGGCAGACTTCGCGGGAAACTGCTGAGCTGCTCCCGTCACAGGCTGCTACGGGACCTGGGTCCCCGCAAGGGAGGCCTATGGGGGAAGGGAGCCACGGACTGCCATGGGGCGCGGGGCGGGGCTCGGGCCAGAGGCCGCGGACGGCGCTGCTCCGGCGGATGGGGCTGCACATCGTGGCCCCGGATGGGCCGCCCAGCACGAGCCACCCGGGCAGGCAGGATGCCCGGAGCCAGACTTACCAGGGACGTTCCGGCGGGACAGCAACAGGGACCAGGAGAAGGAGCCCTGTGGGAAAGCACAAGACACGGCCACCGTTGCCGGCAGCGCGCGGGTCCTCACCTGCGGCGAGTGCAACTGCAGGCCCTCGCTGGGGACGGGCTGGCGAGACGGCGTTTGGTCCAAGTGCAAGTTAAAAATGGTCGCCAGGGCGGACTGCGCGGCCCGGGCCTTGGCGAGCTTCTTGTTCCTGCCCGAGCCCTCGAAGAACTGGCCGTCCACCACCACGGACATGACGAAGCTCTTGGCGTGGCTCTCCCCGCTCTCCGACAGGAAGTCGTACTTCAGCCCGGGCCGCAGCTCGTTCAGGATCATCACGGGGTTCTTGCCGCTGGGCGGCGGGAACGGCGGGGGGCCGGGGAGGGGAGGCTGCGCGAGGCTCGCGGGCGCGGGGGACGCCGCCAAGCTCAGGTCCCCGCTGGAGCTGAAGGAATCGTCCCCGTTGGAGCCCAGGTAGAAGGGTACCTCCGACCGGTCGGGGGTCTCGAAGCCGTTGAAGAGCATGTCGGGGAAGTCGGCCTGGTCGGACGTGAAGTCCGTGTTGGTGGACAGGGTCCTCCCCATGGCCAGGTGCGCCTCGGAGGCGTTGGGGAACTGCACGAAAGACCGCAGCGCCTTCTCAGCGGCGTGCAGCTTGGCCTTCTTCTTGGTGGGGCCGGAGCCCTCGAACACCTGCCCGTTCACTTCCACGGACATGACGAACAAGGGCGCGTGCACGGGGCCCGTCTGCGAGAGCAGCGCGTACTGCAGGCCGGGCTTGATCTCATTCAGCTGCATCAGGGCGTTCTTCGGCAGCGCGGGCCCCGGGGGCCGCCTCCTCTTCTTCAGGCGGAACTTGGCGTGGCCGTTGCTGCCCTCCTCCAGGGGCCGCTTCCGGCTGGCGCCACCGCCGCCCCCGTTGGAGAGCGGGGCGCCCTCGCCGGGCCCGGGCGTGCTGCCGTCCTTGGGGGGCACGCCGTCCAGACCGCAGCTTTCCTTAACATCTGTGCTGCTCGAACCTGCGGTGCCCAGAAAGAGTAACTTACAACGCCTTCGTTGCAGGATCTTGTAAATGCAAAATTTATAGATTCCTTCGTCTCTCTTTGTAACTGGGTAAGTGATGTGTGCTTATCCCTCCGTTCCCCGCGGGGCGTGCGGACAGCCGCCCGTGCCACCCATGGACTATCGCCCCGCCACCACCGCTAGTCAGAATCACCAGCTGCTCTGCATTAAAAGGGGAATCTTCGAAATAACTTTCTCCTACAAGAATATTCTGAGGTGTCTAGAGATGTGCCGTTCAAGCTTATCAAACTGCGGGATGGTAACCGAATCCGAAAACCTCCCGTCAGCGCACACACAGCCCCTCCTCCCTGATGTCCCTGCTCTCGGGCTCTGGACAGCAGCGCTTCCCATGAGAGGGGACAGGACTTCAAGCGGGCGTTCTGAGCTCAGCAGCGTTCAGGCTCTGAATATTCACGTCAGGTGTGCAGTGCCTTGATTTAGTCCTGAATCGATCTCGGGGGACGCCTCTCGAGTCCTGGGAAGCGCTCTGGCTAGTGGGGGGGCCCTGCGGGGGCGGCTGCACTTCCAGTACGTGCTTCCACTCTTTCCACGCTGCGTGGGGACTGTTCCCCCGTGAACCCTTACTACATTCCACGACAGGGAAAAAGCATGTAAAAAAGACGTAAGACTGAAGCTGCAAATGGCCTACAACTTCCTGACATTCTAAGTAAAGCCAGTGATTTTGTCTTTTTTTTAAACAAATATTTGATGGACTTAAAGAATAATTTGGTTATTCTACCTTTTACAGGTAGTTTCTGTTTACAATTAATAAGGATAATTTTAAAACTCTTAAAGTTCATGGCAAAATAAATATAATTTTAATTTCAAAAAGGAGAATAGGAAAGTATTCACTCTTCTCTGTAAGTTTATCAAGACTTAAAAAAAAAAAAAACAACCCAGAGAAAAATCCCACGTTTTCCAGGTTCATTTTCACAGGCTGCTCGCCGGGAGGCTAAACGGGACAGACAGTCTGGGCCGCTGGCCACCGATCCCCAAAGTTCAAGTTCTTGAGCTTCCAGAGCTGAGATGCAAAGACACCCTGGAAACACGGGCAAACAGCCGAGGTCGAGCGGAGATGGCTCTCTGACAACGGCAAGTAGTCCCTGGGGCTCCCAACACACACACCACTTCTCCCAGTTAACAAAGCCGACGGAACGGACACTAAATTTTCATTTATAACATCCTCCAGCAAAAGCTCGATAGGTTACTCCTTTCGGTGCTCAAAGGAAACAAAGGTTAAAAAGGGCAGAGTGAGACAAAATTTAGTCCACAAGTGAGCAAGAGAGACACGCGCCACCCGACCGTGTACAGCTGGGCTGGTGCCAGAGAAGCTCCCAGCACGAGGGCCGGGCCACGGCCGCGTGAGCACGCAATCACACACACAGCCTCGGACACAAAGGCTGGCCGTGCACGCATAAACACAACCAGTACTGGGCGACAGACAAACTTGAGATTGTCAGAAAAAGGTGCTTCCTGGGATACAGATCACACAGATTCCGGGCTGCCATCTGCTTCGGGGCTCGGATACGGCCCCGCTTCCGTCTGATCAGAAGTGCTACTATGTAAAGGAAAAGACCATTAGAGGGAGAGGAAGAGGCCCCAGTGTCCCAGCTCTTACACACACGTAGAGTGCTGCTTTATTTCACAGATGTGAATACAACCGTGATAAGCTCTTTCATTGCCTCTGAAACCACAGAAGATCTAGGACTGCCCGCCACCTCCAGCTCGGGAACCAGCATTCGTGTCTCCTGCAGAATCACTCAGAAGACTCCTTTATCTTGGCGAGTTACCACAGGGTCTACACACACGCGATGTTTCCACCCAAACCCGCGGCCGCCGCTGTGGATGACAGCCCATGGGCCCGAGAAAAGGAGGCTTGGAGGACAGGTGCTCACATATCCCCACGTGGGGGAGCGCACGGGCAAAAGTGGCCACGGCGAGCAGAACTGACCTCCCGAGGAGGCTCTGCTGGGGACAGCAGCGCGTAGGAAGCAGGAGAGGCGGAGCTCGGGTCTCGCTGCCGAAAAGCAACTGCTCCCGCTTTCTCACACCCCCGACCACCAGAGAGCACTTTCCGTGCGGCTCGTGTAACAGAGGCCCGGCCCATGGCACATTCCCCACCGCAGAGCCCATGGAGCAGCCTGCGGGGCAGCAGGCCCAAGGGTAAGGCCTCAGCGGGCCGATTCTGGGTGAAGTCACATGGAGATGGACTGAACTCCGCTCTAGACACGGGTGACCACTCTCAGTAAAAGGTCACTGGTCATTCTGACCTGCGGGTCTTCCTTGGGAGCCACCAAACAGAGACAAGTGAGAATATACACATGTACATATATCCGAAAAAAATACTGTGTCCATATATCGCAAAATGTGCTCTGCTGTAATTTCCCCCCTAAAAGTTCCCAACTTCTGTGGGAGCCTTTAAACCTTACGCAAATGCAGGCTATCTGGGAATAAAGATAAAATAGAGGACAGGTGTTCAGGGAACTTCTTCTCACAGAGGACACCGCTGTGGGAGGGAAGCTGTGCGCCCCTGAGGCTCGCCAACAGGCACCCCAGAGAGGACAGTGTGGGACACGGAACAGGCCCAACAGTGAGCTCTGGTCCACAGCGCCCAAAGGCTCATGGAAGTCTGGAAACAAGATCAGCAGCCTCATGAGAGCCCCCTTCCCTCAAAGCACGAGAAGAATCCATCGTATTTACAGGGAAAAATCTGGGTAGTGTTATCCTAGATGAGCAAGTATTTAAATTAATCATTTAAATTAATCTCAAAGGGTATTTCGGATTGGAACAAATGAAAATCCGGCCACCTGTGGGAGACCAGGCTGTGATGTCTGATGAAGCCGGGCAGCTCCGTGGCCAGCGCATCTGGAGGCCTGTATTTGCCTACAGAGACACACAGCGGCGGCCCAGAGTGACAGACGGTCCCACACACGGCCGTAGGGAAATGCCCACACCAGGTACCAACACCTACTGTAGAGAATACATCAGAGACTTCAAACAGCCACCGTCGATGGTGTAGGAAATACTGTAGGAAAGAATCACTTTTCCCAAATTAGTCTCATTAGAAAAAGACTGACAAGAGCACTAGGGTCGGACGGAGAGAGAGCTACTTGGTGCCACATGATAGACCGGGTCTTACTCGTGTTCTCTTCATCTTCTGTGTCCATGGCAAGGGACTTCTGAGGGCTTCTTGACCGGCGGAGATGGTTTCTGTCTGAAAGACAGCAAGGAAAGAATGTTCAGTGTGCCCGTCACGTGAGCAGACGGGGTCAGCCTGCTCTGTGGGAACAAGTACGACGTTACTACAAGCTAAAGAAGAAAGTCACGAACAAGGATGGTTAGGTCTGCTGCCCGGGATGGGACATCTGCATGGTCAAGGACACCGAATGACCGCCGCCCAGGGCTGTGCTGTCAGGAGGCGCTGGCAGGAAGGGGCCACCCCATGACTCCAGGGCCACTCCGAGGAGGGCGGCCCTGCAGCAGGGGCTGGGTCCCAGAGGAGAGCGAGGACAAGGATGCGTCAGAGGGAGCTCTCCCACAGTGTGAGCAAAGACGTGCCAGGTACACGCCAGTCCCCCCGCCCTTTGCTCACTGCTCGCGGGACTCTGGCCCAGGGCATAAAGTACAGACACAAGCAGGAGCGCCCAGGGTTGCACCCAGCGGCTCTTCTTCACCCTGGGGGCATGCGGCTGAAGAGCACAGGCCTATTCAAACCGGATCTAACCCCGGAGCAACCTGTAACTTCTAATCCTGTGGGCAGGGAAACCACAGGAAGCCCTCCAAGAAGAATTACTCCAAGGATCTAACTCTTAACAATGTAACAGTCTCCTCTTCCCAGACACTGTACTAAGGCATCATCTGTAACGCTGGACCCATCACACTGCGAGCCAGGAAGAGAGCATTGCACATGTCGTAGCCACATTTGCTTTGTATACAAGCAAAATTTATCCCTTTATCCCATAAGTCACTGAGAGGCAATTCAGTTCCTTTAGGAAAATGGTGACTAAAATGCGCCCAATCGTGCGTATGTTATAAATCTCTCGTCTATCTAAAATGCATGTAATCTTCACAACAATCATTTGTTAACGATGTTGAATCTCAATGAATATGCACCAGATTTGTGGCTAAACGTTAAATAAGTTTCTATATAGAATCCTTCATTCAAGGGGCACCTGGGGGGCTCAGTTGGTTAAGCCTCTGACTCCTGGTTTCGGCTCAAGTTGTGATCTCAGGGTCGTGAGATCGAGCCCCATGTTGGGCTCCATGCTCAGTGGGGGGTCTGCTTGGGATTCGTCCCCCCCACCCCTGCCCTGCCCCTGTTCTCTTTCTCAAATACATAAATATATCTCTCTTTTTTTTTTAGAATTTTAGAATTTTAAAGAATCCTTGGGGCACCTGGGTGGCTTAGTTGGTTAAGAGTCTGCCTTCAGCTCAGGTCATGATCCTGGGGTCCCAGGATCAAGTCCTGCATCGGGCTCCCTGCTCGGCGGGGAGTCTGCTTCTCCCTCTGACCCTCCCTCCTCTCAAATAAATAAAATCTTCTTTAAAAAAAAAATTCCTTTAAGAAAGTCTTCCACATAGTTTTAAAAGCATTTTTATTTTATATTATATTATCTTATTTTATTTTTAAGCATTTTTATTTTATATTAGTTAATTACTTCAAGATACAGTTTCTGAAAATGTACTACTTGCGAATCACAGAGTGGAGAGCACAAAACCTAACTAAATCAGACGGATTCTGCCACTGAGACCCCTGGGGGGCACAGTCAGTCAAGCATCTGACTCTTGGTTTCGGCACGTCGTGAGTTCAGGGTCGTGAGGTCGAGTCCCGCGTCAGGCTCCGTGCTCAGCGGGGAGTCTGCTGCAGATTCTCTCTTCCTCCTTCTGCCCCTCCCCACCGCGCTCGAGCCAGCGCTCTCTCTCTAATAAATAAGTGAATACTTTAAAAAAAATATTATTTGAATAGTTGATTATATTAAGAAATTATTAGTCATTTTCGGTGTGGAAATAGTACTTAAATTTTAGTGACACATACTTCAGTATTTCAAGATGAAATGAGATTTGTTCTTATAAACTAACACGGCACGGCACAGAGAAACGCAGACGCTGTGTGGATGACACGGGGCTGAAGGCCGGTACGCTCACGCCGGCCGAGAGCACGCAGGTGTTCTTATGCGCTTCTGTATTTGCATGTGTTTTAATATTCCCATTATGGCAAGTTCTAATAAAAAAGTAACTCCCTTGAGTTCCAAAGTGGGAGGGAAGACACAGTCGCAAGTGCAGAAGTCCCACACGCCCTCAGTGAGACACAAGTACTCTGGGGAGTCCCTCGGCGGGACGACAGGTGCGCGGGTGCCGACGGGAGCCTTGAGGTCAGGCCAGCTGGGGCGCACCCTGAACACGGGACGCGGGTGGCAGAGAGGAAAGCACAGAGCTGGTGTGAGACCGACCATCACAAAGCACTTCAGAGAAACCCAAACTATTACAAATCCAGCAAACATCAGAAGGGTTCTGAAGGGTGGAGGGAGGAAGGCAGACTAGCGGGGACCAAGGAGAGCACGGCAGGGAGGGCCCTGCCTCCGCTTTTGCTTCACCAGCCTAGGAGCCGGAGAAGCCTGGAACGACACTGGGGATGGGCACAGACACAAACAAAACGAGAGCTGTGCCTTCGGCCACAGGTCCAAGACAGGGAGCTGCCGGCTACACGGGGAATGGGCGGATTGGAAAGACCCCACTCCAGCCAGATGCCACCGTCCCGGCCATGGTGCAGAGTCGGGGGGACACTCGGGCCGAGGTGCCCATCTCATCCCCACTGGGGCTGTCAGGAGACCATGGAAGAGGAGCAAACTTGCAAGCTGTCGGCAAAGGCCCGGTGGGAAGCGGACCCCCACCAGAGAGAGAGCGGTGTGAGGGACAGTCAGCTAGCACACAAGGTTTAGGTAAGATTCAGGTCCTGTAACGTAGTATGTTCAGGTTTCAATAAAATCATTCCTCCTACTGACAGCCAAGAAGACCCCAAACTGAATGAAAACATACAACCAGGAGATGCTGTCCAGAGATGTCAGACTCACCGGAGGAAAACTTCCAAGCAGCCATCATAACGTACTTACTAGACAGCTTGAGTCTCCGGACGGTGCACAATTGGTGCGGGACAGACAAGCAGGTCGCAGCGAGCAGAAGGAAGGACCTACGGAGAAGCTCTCGCCAGCACACCCGGGCAGGTCCGCGCGGGAAGGACAGACAGCCCTGTCAGCAAAGTACGCCGGAGCGGTGCGACCACTCCCCACCCGGCAGGCCACCTGCAACGGGCCAGGGGTTTCAACGTAAAACACAAACCCTAACACCTTTAGGAAATTCATAGGAGAAAACCCTCCGGATTTTCAAAAATCCGGACAAAGCAAAGGGACAAAGCAAAGACTTCGCAGACTCTTTTGCAGATCAAAGCGTGATCTATGACAGGAAAGACTGATAAGTGGATCTATCGGAATGAAACACTTCTGCTTAAGACCCTACCGAACCGATGAAAAGACAAGCTACAGACACGGAGAAAGTCTTTGCAAGCCACAGAGCCAACCAACAGCACACGTGAGAAATTCTCAACGCCAGACAATAAACAAGCCAATTAGAAATTGGGCAGAAGACCTGAAGAGCGATATCACCAATGAGGGTGCACAGACGGCAAATGAGCCCTTGAGACGGTGCCCGACGCCATCACCCCTCAGGGAGACGCGCCTCAGGCCACATGCGGCACCAGCACACACCCGTGAGAACGGCTACGCGGGTAAACCGCGGCCACCCCACACGCTGGCGAGGATGCGGAGAAGCGGGTCACACACTCGGCTGGCGGGAACCTAGCAGGTGCAGCCACCCTGGAGAACAGTCTCGCGGTGTCTTAAAAACGAAACATGTGCATTCATTTAGAGAAATGAAGACATGTTCACATAAAAAATGGGTACATGGGGACGCCTGGTGGGTTCGGTGGAGCGTGCGACTCTTGATTTCGGGGTTGTGAGTTCAAGCCCCACGTTGCGGGTAGAGAGGACTTGAGAAATTTTTATATATGTACATGAGTGCTCATAGCCACTTGATTCAAAATAACCCCAAACTGGGAAAACCCAGGGGCCCCTCAACAGCTGAACGATGAACTACAATACGGTCCATCCACGCCACAGAACACCGTGTGGCAATAAAAAGGAACAGACTGTTGATATACACAACAAGCTGGGTAGATTCCCAGAGAATGAGAATGAGTGGAAAACCCAATCTCACGGTCCATCGTATGGACCTGTGTGCAGCCCACAATGCGCACCACTGCGGAAATGAGAAAACTGCAGACGGAGACCAGGCTGGGGCCACCAGGGCTGGGGAAGAGGTGGCTGTGGCTATAAAAGGGCAGCAGGAGGGACCCTGCAGTGCCAGAATGTTCTGGATCTTGACTGTATGGAGGTCAACATCCTTGTCGCAACAGTGCTCTGTGAAAAGCAAGCAGGGCTCTCGCGTTATTTCTAACAGCTGCGCGTGAACTGTCGTGATCCCAAAATGAGAAGTTAAGTTAGACGCAGACACAGGCACACGCGATCATTAACCAACAACTGGTCCGCAGAGAGGGCCAGCTTCCCTGCAGGTCCGGCGCGAGGAAGACCGCACGTGCAGTGATGGGGAGGGTGGGTCTGCGCCACGGGACAGGCTTGGCCCTCGCGGAGTTCACCTGACGTGGGGAGCTCACCTCGTTTACCTGCTCCCACATACTAAAATTCTAAAAACGGACACAGAAAATGTCTCACAGTAGAAAAGAATCAGGCTATGCACAGAGGCAAGTGGGACATGCATATTAAGAACAGACGCTGGAAATCTCTTGCGGAGCAGAAGCCGACGTTTCCAGCACCTACAGATGCCAACTCCAGCACCGAAGGTTATAAAACAAACCAAAATAATAAATGCAAGCACTGCAGGGCACTTCACAGAACCATTTCTCTTTCACTCGCAAAAGCACTTCTTATGGCCTGAATGATAAACAAGAAAGAATTAAAACCCCGTAAAAAACCGCATATCGAACAAAATTCCAGAAATGGCCAAGTAAAGAATAGCTTTCTTTGACAGCAATATTCAAATAATCTCCCTAATAATGCAACAGGAAGTGGGCTAAACTGGGGGCCCTGGAGTGTGAAAAGACCCTTCAACTTGGCATCAAAAGACCGGATCTAAGTTTAGGTT